CTTAACAACACTTGGTACTCTACAGTATACTACAAGTAGTAGCACTATACCTGAAGTACAGGGACCTTAACAACTTGGTAATGTACAGTGTGCTACAACTACAAGTAGTAGTACTGTACCTGAAGTACAGGGACCTTAACAACACTTGGTACTCTACAGTAAACTACAAGTAGTAGTACTATACCTGAAGTACAGGGACCTTAACAACTTGGTAATCTACAGTGTGCTACAACTACAAGTAGTAGTACTATACCTGAAGTACAGGGACCTTAACAACTTGGTAATCTACAGTGTGCTACAAGTAGTAGTACTGTACCTGAAGTACAGGGACCTTAATAACTTGGTAATCTACAGTGTGCTACAAGTAGTAGTACTATACCTGAAGTACAGGGACCTTAACAACTTGATAATCTACAGTGTGCTACAACTACAAGTAGTAGTACTATACCTGAAGTACAGGGACCTTAACAACTAGATAGTTTATATAAACTCTATTAAGCAGTGAAAAATTTCAACATGAGCTCTAGAATCTCTAGCTTGAGTGTATATTTTTCATTACCTTAACATAATAGGTAACTTTAAATCCAGTAAGAATTCCATTTTGGTCGGTAATAGGAAGAGACCACTCCAGAGAAATGGACGAAGGTCGTACATCTGATGCTCCAAAATAATGAACTTTTCCTGGAACTGTAGAACAACGAGGAAAAAGAGCTGATACATAACAGTATTACTGACTTAATAAACAATGTGGTTAATGTTGTAATATATATAAAATAAAACTACAAAAACGTCTGGAATCAAACCGAATTAAGAAATACAAACAAAAGTGTAACAAGAATGAAATAATAAAGAAACATGGTAATTTATAAGAAAGAGTGAAACATACTAATAATTTAAAGCTAGAATCACAAGTTAACCAAATCACTGAAGAATCAAGGGTCATTTATGTATAAACAAATTACATAAAGAGTACATTCAAAGTAAAGTGTAAAATATAAATAAATAATACCATTTAAAAGATAACTAATTATTATCACATTGAATTATATATATACATGAATATATGTAAAAATTGATATATCATAGTTATAGTAAATTATTTCTGTCATATAAATGCAATTATAATTTTTATGTGAATTAGTAAAGAAAACATAATTATTTAGCATTGTTTAAGTCTACATGTTTACTTACCCGATTCTAAAGTTTCCAAGGTTTTCGAGATGGGTAAACTACGACGTACTGTAGACGTACCATAGCCACTAAGAACTGTAACTAAAAACGTGTAGTTATAATGTGGTCGTAGATTGTTGTAGGTTATTTTTTCTGCAACCGTGATGTTTTGTCTTAGTTGCCCTTGGTGATCCAGATACTGAACTTCGTACCCATCCTTGTCTCCCGGTGTTACATCCCAACTTAAAGTTATGTCCACATCTGTGATACTGAGTGCAGTCACTTCTGTTACTGGTTTAGGATCTGGAAAAATTCATATATCTCTAAACAATTCACTTACCTAATACAGACATCACAGGATCATTTCATAGTTTCAGTTTTAAACAATTCATATCATCAATTTTTTATAAAAATCTTGCAATTATAGAAGAATAAGACACTTAAACACAGAGTTACTGTCCAGAAGAATAAGACACTTAAACACACAGTTACTGTCCAGAAGAATAAGACACTTAAACACACAGTTACTGTCCAGAAGAATAAGACACTTAAACACACAGTTACTGTCCAGAAGAATAAGACACTTAAACACATAGTTACTGTCCAGAAGAATAAGACACTTAAACACATAGTTACTGTCCAGAAGAATAAGACACTTAAACACATAGTTACTGTCCAGAAGAATAAGACACTTAAACACATAGTTACTGTCCAGAAGAATAAGACACTTAAACACATAGTTACTGTCGAAAATAATAAGACACTTAAACACATAGTTACTGTCCAGAAGAATAAGACACTTAAACACATAGTTACTGTCGAAAATAATAAGACACTTAAACACATAGTTACTGTCCAGAAGAATAAGACACTTAAACACATAGTTACTGTCGAAAATAATAAGACACTTAAACACATAGTTACTGTCATCAACCCACATTTCTAATTCCTAAAACATCCACATAAATTACTAAATGGGTTCCAGCTAACCATAAAATGAAATTTTCCATACATTTTAGTCTACCTTCACATTTTAGAAGTGAAAGCCTACACTATCTTGCCTGTCAATAAATGGGCACACGTTTTTGTTTACCTTCATCATATTTTAGAAATGAAACTTACACAATCTTGCTTGTCTGTAAATGGGCACACTGTATACGCCTCCACTGATGGTCCAGATGGTTAGGTTGTAAAGCCGTCCTGGTACAAGGTTGTCAAAGATAACTAACCGATTTGTGTCATTGTAGAGCTTTTCCTGTGCAGGAACTGAGGAATCACTGAGCTGGAAGCGGTACCGGTCAAACACTACATTTCGAGTTGGTGTTGGGGTATATTTGATACCCAGTGTCCGAACATGAAACTCTGACAGGCACTAAAAACAAACAATTATATCAGTCCGAGTTTCATGTTAATCTGTGACTATGTTTATCACAGAATCAATGACAGGCACTAAAAATAAACGGACTGATATAATTGGAGTTTCATGTTC